ATTATTGAGAACCAAAAAATGCTAACTAAAAAACGAAGAATGATCATACCAAAAAACGCTAACTAAAGACCTAGTTAATCTCAGTCAATTTCTACAGTATCGGACGATAACTGCGGAGGTTGATAATTCTTCATTCGGTCAATATAATTAAGACAGGATCATTTGCAGCTTCCCATAGATCATCTACAATCTTCAAACGCGCCTCTTTAATGTTCTCATCGGTTATCAAATCCATTCTTAGCTGAAGCATATGATACTCGATGTATTTTAACGCATAAACTCCGCAATTACTCTTCGTATTATTCAGGTCACGTGGCACCTTGACGTCTATGATCTCAAATTGTGTCACAAGCGGAACTTTTCCATACACCTTTGCTTGAATTTCTTTCAAAATCTGAGGGATGCTGCATGCGAATGACTCCACGTTCCTTCTGTTGTTGTTTAATTTCCAGCACAATCGAAGACTTCAACTGTTCTTAAAACGAAGTTAACGCAAACAGAAATCCAGTGATTACCATTGATTCTGGCGAAACCCAAAGCCCATTTTCTTCCCGTCTTTCCATGAGATGGCAAATCACCGTTGGCGTAAGCTAGAAGATTACTATCCCATTTGTGGCTCCTCTTATTTGTTGATTTCATATACTTCGAGTGTTCGTTTTAGATTCGCATGCTAAACATGCAATTCATAAAACCAACACGATCTGACATCGTTAGGCCTAAAGATGTTTTCTCCCGAAATCATCATAGCGTCCATTTCTTGAAAACATTATTAATCGTTAAAATTTCATTTTAGCACAACAAAAACAACTTTAAGTAATGCATAATGTTGAAAAGAAAAACGTTAATACGGACTTCGTTGCCTAGCCACTTGGTGTGCATGATGATTCGGTTTAGTAATACATCACTAAGTTAAGGATTCCACGACTGTAAAAGAAGTGTACAGAAAATATTGTGTAAGTAAAAAAAACAATTAGACAATTTTATTCTCCAAAATTATATTAAAAGAACTTACACAAGTTTCCTTTCCCACGCATCAAAAGCATTCCATCTATCTTCAGATACGAAGACCAATACAGCGTCGATCATTTTTTCCCGCGTTTCGTTCACTAGGAGCTCGAATATCGACTTCTACAGAAACATCATCTTTGATTCCGCTTTCAATTTTGATCGGTCGCATGTGGACATCTTCTCGAAAAAAACATCCTTTGTAGGATCAAACTGGGGTACCTCTAAATTTTGAGAAAGATGTCCCACTGATTTCTGTAGGAAATCTTGCGTATCCAAGTTAAGGTCTATTTCACCCGTTTGGGTGAAAATATCATCAAATATAAAGTTTTCTCTTGTCAATACAAAAGAGCAATGTAAAAATTAACATACAAATACAATAACTAAGTTTCAAAATTTACAATACATAGGTTTCAAAATTACAATACACAAGTTTACAAATATTGTTTTACATAAGTTTTTAAAACTACAAACATGTAGATATATAGCCGAATTATAATGTTTTAGAAACCAAATACAACAAAAACAAGCATAGAGATTTATTTTTTACGGACCACAGATTTTGGTTGAACGGATGGTGGATTGGCATGTGTCGAAGTCGATGTAAAAGAGGATTTCGATTCCTTGAGTTCTGATACATCCTCCTATATCTTCTTCAATCTCTTGCCTATCACTTCCCCAAAATTCTTGAAAGAAGTTTCAACATTCTTTTGGTGAAGGGTTTTCTGCAAATAAACCCTCCAATTAGTTAGGGTTTGTGATTTTACCATTCACGTCATTAAACCGCAAGTCAACTCTCCAAGTAAGAGTCAACCCGCAATATAATTCATCGGATAAATTACGGATAATTTTTTAACAGTATCAAATATTTATAGCGATTTTAAAAAAAAGAAGACCTCATCGGATAAATTACTCAAATTATAGACACATCTTCTCAATCGGAACTCGATTTGGGTTGGATGAACCGATCGGTTTGGCTATAAGAACTAAACCCTAAATAATGTTACCCCTTCCATTCGCTCAAAACTTGAGTTTCTTTCTTAGCCGCTGGGCGCTGGGAAGAAACTTTGCAACCGTTGTCAACAATCTGCGATCCCTCCTTATTCGCCTTTCTCATGAAACTTTGATTTTTTATACAAGTTTGCACTAGATCATGTTACTTGGGCATGTAATTCTAGGGACAATTTCAGTCCGGGATTTTGCTATCGCTGGCCTAAATGCTCTTTTCCCTTTGATCCATTCAATGAAACTGCACCATTTTTGGGTTTGTAATGTCGCACCCAACCAAAAGAAGAACCTTCTAATTCGATTAGGGTCTTTGGTATCGATGTTAATGATGGGTTTGATTTTCTATAGGTAGGGGTGAAACTATTATCCGCGATCCGATCCGTTATCCGTTCGGATCCGCTCCAAAAATTAAGATATCCAGAAAGCCCGGATTCGGATAAAAATAGTAAAATCTAAGATTTGGATAACAAAATTTTAAGGTCTGTATATTTGGATCCGGATCCGAACGCATTAAATATATTAAAAAAAATATATATTTTATATTCTCTCCGTTTCTTATTATATGATGTTTTAAAAGTTCTTTTTTGGTTTCACATTATAAGATGTTCTCATATTTCTAGGTACATTTTAGCTTTATTGATAAGTGTGTGACCAATAATCTTTTGCAGTCTTTTTTATAATTAGTTGAATTATTTTAATTAATATATTAAATTTTACTTTTTGATAGAAAAAGTTTTTTTTTAATGTCTGTGATTTTAAGCAAAACATCATATAATAAAAAATGAAAAGAG